GCGTCGTGCGTCGTGCGCCGTGCGTTCGTGGAAAGATGGGAGCGAAGAGACGTAGGGACGCTGAAAGTGGAAAGAAACGATGCAACGCCTGTACGCCTTCAGCGCAGGAGACGCAAAGAGAGGACCGGCACTGGCTAGCGGGATTAGCGGCCAGAGGGCGGGGCTTACTGGACCAAGGGAGAGTCCTAACTCACGCGTTTCTTCGCGAGAAGGGGAAGGGCCAGAAGGGCGGGGCCTTCCATTTATGCAATCACGTCATGCAAATGAGGTGGAGGGACAGACCAATCCAAGGGGCCGGGAAAGCGGATCGTCCGCACCGTGCAGCGTAGGCGTTCTTCGGCTGATTCTATTTATTTGCATAGTGCATGCAAATCATTTGAACAAAGGCTAGGAATGACCTATTCATCAAAATATGGACAACCAATGACTAAGACGGACATTTAATTTTATAAGCTATAATTTTCATGCATAGATTTTTATATTTGATATTATTGGCAATTTGTATTTTCTAATCAATGGATTTTATTTTACAAAATTCAGTAGTATTTTCATAAACAATGGGTTTGATTTTACAAAATTTCAGTAGTATTACCCCACTGTAGAACCCTCTGTTCTCGTCAGACTTATTAGCCATTCAACGAATCATTCAACAACTATGTTTTTGAAGGTGCAGGAAATATGCACAGAATATTATAGAAGTAGAGGAGTAAAATCTGACAATGCCTGGGGAGATTTAGAAATGCTTCTAGAAAAATTCTTAGTAACAGTTATGAGGAACTAGTTAGAACTTATGCAAGTTTGAGGAGAGGGTGCACATCTCAGGCACCATGAACAGGTAAGTGGAGGCATGGGTTTGGGGAGCTGCGCCTAGACTGATGTGGCTAAATAAAGGGACTGCCTGTTCATTATGGAAAATGCAGGCTGAATAGTTAACAGAAACCAGATAAGAATTTTAGCCTGAAGCTAACCAAGATTTAACATGACTGCAGTTTTCGAACTTTCTTTTTTCTTTTTCGAGACAGGGTCTCACTCTGTTGCCCTTGATCATAGCTCACTGCTGCCTCAGCCTCCTTAGTTGCTAGGACTATAGATTCATGCCACCACACCCAGCTAATTTTTGTATTTTTTTGGAGCATTGGGGTCTTGTTATGTTGCCCAGGCTGGTCTCAAACTCCTGGCCTCAAGTGATCCTCCTGCTTTGGCCTGCCAAGTGCTGGGATTACAGTCATGAACCATGGTGCCCAACAAGTTTTCAAACTTTCAAAATGGTTCTCTTGTCCCCTCTCCTTGGCCAGCTACCACATATACCATTTTGGTTTTGCAGCAAAATTTCTTGAAAGAATTTTGCTGCATTTTTTTTCATACTCATCGTCTCTAATTTCTCTCCTTTCGGTCTCTCTTAAACCCACTCCAGTGAAGCCTTCACCCCTACCCGCTACCAAAATTGGGTTTTTCAAGGACATCCAAATTCCTGGTTTAAAATAGCATTTATGCATTGATGACTCTCAAAAGTGTATCTTCATCACAGACCTCTCTCCCAAACTCCAGACTTGTATACACAACAATATATTTGACATCTCCTCTTGGGTATCTAATAGATGATTTGAAATTCAGTACGTTCAAAACTGAACATTTTGGCCTGGCGCGGTGGCTCACGCCTGTAATCCTAGCACTCTGGGAGGCCGAGGCGGGTGGATCGTTTGAGCTCAGGAGTTCGA